AGAAGAAGAATTAATTAACGTTAATTTTCCAACGAGTGAGAAAGAATGTATTTTCCAACTTGCAAGTTTGTTAGACATTATCTCTTTCAAGAATTTAAAAGTATCCTTAGAAACTCTACCCTCAATGATAGGGGCTTCAAGATAAGTCTTATTCCTACTCCCAATTGGAATTTTGAGAATTCGAGCCATCACCTTTTGGAGTCTAAAGGGGATGTTATTGGAGAACATAATGGCCAATTTAAGATAATTAGGAAGCTGGCCCAAAGCTTTAGTAAATCTATCCAAATTCTCCTTAATTTTGAGGCAAGCATTGATTGAGGCCTTTGCAAATATAATGCAATCATTTGCAAACTGAAGAATTGGAATTGTCGAACCTTCCCTAGAGGCTTTATAGCCCACATCATTTGTGCCACATTCAGCCTCCATATTAAGATTGCTTGAAAGAGCCTCAACACAAAGGACAAAGATGTAGGGGGACAAGGGGTCACCTTTCTGAATCTCCACTGGCTTTGATGACTCGGGTGGGAGAGCCATTTATTAGAATCTGGAAGGAAATGGAACTAATGCATTCCATGACCCAATTAATCCATTTGTCATGGAAACCAAATTTAACTAGAACTTTTCTGGTAAAATCCCATTCCAACCTATCATATGCTCTCCATGTCAACCTTACAAGCTAGCATCCCTTGTTTGCCTTTTTTCTTTTTCATAGTGTGCAACATATCATGGACAATAAGAATGTTGTATGTGATTTGTCTATTAGGTATAAAAACACTCTGGAAGGGGGAAATAATGTCATCCAGAAACTGTTTGATTCTATTCACAAGGATTTTAGAGATGGTCTTATAGATGACATTACAAAGGCTGATAGCCCTGAAATCATTGATCCCCTCCGAGTTTTCACACTTTGGGATAAGCGTAATAAAATTCCTATTTAAATCACCATTCAACTTCCCATAATGAAAAAAAGGCTTTGACAGTTTTACATACAACATCCCCAACAGTATTCCAGTATTTCTTAAAGAAAAATACATCAAGACCATCAGGTCTCGGGGCCTTCATATCCTTCATCGAAAGCAGGGTGTTATGGATCTCTTCATTTGTAACCTCTCTACATAGATTATTGTTAAGAATTTTAGAAGCACACCAATCTATATTTGAAATGAACCTGTCTACTTCCGAAGTGCCCTCGAATTAAATCTCTTTTCAAAACTGCTACAAAACAGCTCCTTGATCTCCTCAGCATCTTCAATTCAGAGTCCATCTTTATTTCTGATTTTTCTAATTTTGTTCTTATTTCTCCTAATTGTTGTAGTAATGTGGAAGAACTTATTATTTTTATCCCCAAGTTTAAGCCAATCCACTCTGGAATTTTGAGCCCAATAAATCTCTTCTTTAGCAAGAGTGTTGTTGAGAAGTTTCTGGAGAGCTTTCTCTTGATTGATGAGACTTTTGTTATTTGGATCCCTTTCTAAATTTTCTTGGATCACCTCGATTTTTAATAATTCTTCTTTTCTTTTTTTGATATTCTCAAAATGATGTTTAGTCCAGTATTTGAGCTCTTTAACAAGGTTATTTCTTTTCTTACAAAATTGCCTGTCTCTAGAACCATTAATGTTGATATCCCAAGCCCTTTTGATCATGTTGTCAATACTAGGATCAAGGCACCACATGGCTTCAAATCAAAAAGGTCCAAGACCAAAAGAAGCCCGAGAATTAGTATCAAGTATCAAAGGTGTATGGTCGGAAGCCAAAAAAGGTAGATTTGTTAGCCTACAATTATTAAATTCACATCTCCATTCGAAAGGACCCAATCAATCATTTCCTTAGTCATTTCCTTAGTAGAACTATTCTTCCAAGTGAATTGACCTCCTTACATATCTAACTCAATAAGATTACAATAGTTAACTAGTTGATTAAAATTCCTAGTATGAGAGGGCCTTACCTCCACACCACCTTTTTTATTTTCTCTCCTTCTAAGAGCATTAAAATCCCCATAACACACCATGCACCAAAAGTAATATCAACTATGTTTCTAATCCAATCCCACACCCTAATTTGATCAGTTTTTACAAGGAGGAGCATAAACAAATGTACTAAACCAGCTTTTGTTAGATTCCATATCAGTAATGTAAGTGTGGATAAGCCTATCATTTGTTAAAATAATATCAACAGAACAAGTAGAAGAATTCCATAAAAAACCAATAGGATCAACAAGATGACATTTATCAACTTTAAATGAAGACACAATTTTTTTGCTCTAATAGGATTAACTCTTGTTTCCATTAAACAACAAATACTAGGCTTAAATTGACTACATAATTCAGTAACTTGACGCCTAAGCTGGATTCTACCAGCCCCTCTTACATTCCAAATTAGGATTTTCATTTAGAACCCTTTGTCTCCTTAGGACCCTGCTCGTCCAGACCCACTTGAGCAACAAAGATATCAGCATTGAAATCTGAAGTCCCAGGGTCAAAGTTATCGAATGCCATCCAGCTATTATTCTCTTGACCATCCCACTCTTCTTCCATGTCTTCTTCATTGACACCTTCATCATCTTCAAGTTTCGTTCCTGCATTATCACCCTCTTCCTTATCATTTGTGCCATAATTGTTATCAGTCCCTGAAAATTTGCCATCAACCCCGCATCCAATAGGCTCACAAACAATAGGCGGGTTATCGTATGAAGGAGGTTCATTATGCAAGTTTTCCTTCTTTTGAACCCGGTGAGCCTTTTTGTTAATCATTTTATCTGGAAGTATTGAAGCAAACATTGGATTAATGAAGCGAGCAGTATAACCCTTAGCTTGATCAACTCTTTGTTGTTTCAGATGGGAGTGGTTGGGAAATTTAATGGGAACCTAAGTTTGTCTAGTTCTTGTTACCTAAATAGGCTGCTTGAGCCGCTCACCTTTGATAGAACCAGGATTTTGTTTCCTATTCACAATAGTCCATCCACCCACATCTTTTTTAGTATTACTCGTAGCACACTGGTAATACTTGTGACCTTGCCAACCACACACAGTGCAAAGATCATGAACGTTTTCATAGAAAACTCTAAGTTTGTCATTGTTACCATTATTAGTGACTGGAATGTCCAAGATGACCTGTTTAGTGGTGTTTATATGAATGCAAACACGGGGAAAAAGAAAATGTGAAGCCCTCTTCGTATCCCTATCGAGTTTGATAACTGCTCCCACATCTCTGAGAATGATTTCAAAATCTTCTTTGGACCAAAATTCCAAGGGCAGCCCTGGAATCCTGACCCAAAATCCGTCTCTTCTAGTTTGGCTTTAAGCGGATTAAAACCAAATCTCTATTTCATGAAAACTATGTGTTTCCCATTGATGACCCACGGACCCTCCTTGAGAATCCAATTGAGGTCATCCTCAGGCGAGAAAAAGAAAAGGTAGAACCCGTTGCCAAGGATTTGGATGTCCAGCTTGCTGAATCTTTAATTTTATCAACCAGAACTTTGAGAGGTTCTGGGTCTCCGAGGAACTTAGCAAACAGACAAAAAGCACCCTTGATAGGGGTGGATTCCAGGTGAGCCAAACTGAATTGTATAAGGCTCAGCTCGATTTTAATCACGAGCCAAGCTTCAACAACTCGTGAAAAACTTTGGCTGATTGCCACCCTAGACTCCACCCTTGCTCTCCACGAACTTCTTCCCTTGGAGCTCTTCGAGATTAATCGCGCGGTACACAAGACTTTATTGTCTTTCGAATTAACTTATTTAACAGCCTCCGAAAGGAAAGGTTCAGAAAGAGATCTCACATTATTCGATCTCCTCACATTATTCGAGCCACCAGTCCAGTCGTATGGGTGGACCCAGCAGAGGAAGCCATCTGAGCAGAATGCGAAAAAATAATTTGATAGTTCTTGGGGGAAAAAAAGTCCCAATGGAACCCTTAGGCTCTATTTAAATTGGCTAAGGTCAAATTCCCATTACGCCTCTTCGACTTCTCCTCGAGAATACCGCCAAGTTGCGATTCTTCGAAACTCTTCTTTGGTATGCGTGGCTTATCATCATCATGCAGGAACTTCCTAGTAGACGCACATGTCGGAGTATCGACGATTACACTTTCCAAATAATCATCATCTCCAAGGATACTGTGCACCGCCTTCGGGCTGGTTGCACTGTTTCCTAACTAGAGCTTGATTTAAAAATGAATCATTCTCATTTATGAAACTGGCTTCATTAGCTGCTGGATCGAAATGAAACAAACCTCCTGTTTTTTAAGTTTCACTTCGCTTTCACGTCTTACTTTTCCTGGCAATCTTTAATATGCTTCTCTCCATAAACGAAGATCTTTGTAGAGATAGAAATTAGTGACAGAAAATTTGCTGTTAGGGTTTGGCAGCTGGTTTGGGAGGGAAGAACGAGAGGAAAAGCCGGAGCCCGGAGAGGGTTTGGAAGAGACAAAAAAGTTGAAATTAGCAGAGGACCACCGTTACCGTTAGTGCACGACGTGGCAACATGCTATGCACTCTGGGCAGGATTTGTGCCAAGTGGACAGCGAATTTTTCTCCCAATTTCTTTGGGGGTTCAAACTTCATATTTTGCCAGTACAGCCATCCCGCCCTCTCCGCTTCCAAACCAAAACAGAGGCTTTCTTTAATTGTGGCTCCAATTCACGGCGTGTAGAGAGTGGGTAGGAAATCCCGAGTGTCTTTAATTCCTTGAAAATTTTGATAACCCAGAATCTTCTCCCTCCCTCCCTCCCCGCTCTCTCTCTCTGAACGTAGTAGTCTCTCTTGCTTGATAAAATGAATGGCGAAGAAGGTGCAGTAGCTCATTTCCATCTCCTATTTTCCATCATCTACTGTTGGATCAAGAACTTCATAAGCTCACGTTTTCCATTTATGGGTCATTTTTGTAATAAGTTTCCTTATATCTTGCAGAAAAGTTTATATCGTTTAGGAAAGAAGTACCAGCTCACTGCATACTAAAGATCGAGTCCTTCTCCTTACTTGCAATGACCCAGATGGAGAAATATGTTTCTGGCGATTTCAAGGCTGGAGGTTATAACTGGTATGCTTGTCTTCTTAGTTTCTCAGTCTTCGCCTATCAATCATTTACTACAACAGTGTTTTTGGAGATTAATGAACAAAAAGTATAGTGGGTCATTGGCCTTTCAATCTCACATGGCTCCTGAAAGAAAGCAACATTTCTTATGAAAAGTAGTTTTTTGTCATTCGGGCTTCATTTCTTTCAGATATAATGGGAAAGAACAACGCAAATTTCTATAAATAAATAAATCAATAGTATTCTTTCAGCCATTTACAATGAAAAAGGGGAAGAAGCTAGAAAGTTGTGCTTGTCCACTCCTTTTTATATCCAATATAGCTAATAGCCTTGAGAAAAAAAAGGGTTTCTAGAGAAAAGTACATTAGTTTTGTAAGAAAGGCTTGGTGTGGAAATGTCTTACCTTTTCAACTGTATATCCATTATCATTTGTGATTGCAGGAAATTGATTCTATACCCAAACGGAAAGAAGGAGAGAAATGTGAAGGATCATATCTCTCTCTACTTGGCAATATCAGAGCCAAGTTCTCTTCCTGTTGGTTGGCAAGCTAATGTGATGTTCAAATTGTTTGTCTTCTCGATCAGCTCAAGGACCAATACATGATTGTAGAAGGTAGCATCTTCCCATACTTAATTCCAAGCCTCAAAAAGCTATTTATAATTGCTATATTTTGGTATCCAAATCCATCATATTTTGAATATCATGAACATCATCGTTTTATTATTCTCTATTTGCACCCTCGCTAATCTTGTATCCATGTAAACAGACCATATGTTATTCCTTTCTTCCCTAAGCTTATATATTGCTTTAATTTGAAATGTGAAAATTATGACAACTCCGGAAAGAAAAACAGTTATTTATCGAGTTTAAGCCCTTTATCTAGTTAACTTATTTATTTTCTCAACTAGTTTTTTATAACTATAAATATATAGAATTGAATTAGAAAACTAATAAACACAACCAACCACGCCTACTGATGTTGACCCACTAACAACTCATTTAGAAATTCTGCACATAAAAACCCCTACTCTACAAAACACAATCAACCTAAGGACATTTGATATATGGAGTAAACTATTTGACATGTGACAGTGAAAATTATGATCAAACTTTGGCATTGAATGGTGTTATGGGAATTCAAAGGTGATAGGCATGTTGGGGAGCTGAATCTGATGATAGCTGTTTTTCTGGCTGTGGGACCAATCATTTTGCTTCACACCAGCCATAAAGTGCACATAGCTTACAATCACTCTATTTCTCTCACTTGCATTCATGGCTCTGGTGTGGAGCAAAATTATTGCTCCCACAGACAGTAAAACAGCTATCAAAATATCAAATTCAGCCTATCTTTTTCCCAGCATGTTGCACCTCAAATTCTGTAAATCTACAAGGAAAAAGTAGTGCCCAAAAGAGTCCTAGTTAACTTACTCCATTTAGTGTGAAAATGATTTCAAGATTGTTGAGTGTTATAGTGTTGAAAGAGGATTGTTGCTTATGAATGAAAGTTGTGTAGAATAATGAATAGTTAAACGATTTCATGATTTACAAAATAAAGATGCTGAAGCAATTAATGATTCTAGGATATTCTTTAGATTTGGTAGATACTTATTAGAAAATCTTGAGATTAAGCTTCTGTGCCTTGTTGAGAACAGATTTAGGGTAACTAGACCTCCTAACAGATGCTAGGAATATTTTAAGGTAGGACCTATCTTTTTAGCCCTGCAACTATATGCTTTTGGTCCTGCTAGGCTCTCTGTCTACAGCTCGGGAAATTCCTATCAAGCCTCTGCTTTCATTTTACTTTGTTGCTTTCAAGTAATTGTGAAAGACAATGTTGAAGAAAGAAAAGGCATCTCTAACCCTAGTAGTGTTTGGTGGATCTTCAGCCTTTTGCCCACTTTGCTTTCCTGTATTTCGATTTTCAATTACCTTGTCATTCTTATAAGCTAGCGTTATTGTATATAGGTACCAAAAGGGCACCAAGCCGCTTTCATGCGATGATGACCAAACGGGGTTTCACCCATTTAATCTCACTTGAGACTTTCAATGACCCTTCCAATGGATACCTTGTTGAAGACACATGCTATTTTGGAGCAGAAGTTTTTGTTTCCAAAAATCATGGAGAAGGGGAGTGTTTGTCCATGACGAAGGGGCCGGTTTCCTGTAGCCATACTTGGAAGATAGAGAAGTTCTCTTTGTTGTGTGAAAAACAATACTCTAAAGAATTCAGTGTTGCGGATTTTCCATGGTATATATAATAGTTTTTGCTCTTCTCCACCACTTTGCTTCACTCTAGCATCTTTAATGTGTAATTTTTTTCTAAATTCTTTATTTCAGGAAGATTCTCCTATATCCAAGAGGTGATTCAAAAGAAAAAGACAGGAGCCTCTCCTTGTACTTGACATTCGCTGATTCAGCATCACTTCCTTTGGGGAAGAAAGTATATCTGGACCTTGTCTTCGGGTCAAGGATCAGATCCGTGATATACATTGGGACCATCAAGGTAATTTGTTGAAATATATGCTGACTGATAATTTGATATAGATAAGGTATGGTTGGTGTCAGCCAGTTGTGAGTTGAGATGCTCTTCAAATGCCTCTATCAGCTTTGTGAGGTTAGGAGACAACTCAACCTGTGGGCTCAATCCTCATCAACCTATATGATGGAGGGATTTTTATCTCATAGCGCCAGCGTTCATGTAGATGCATGAACACTCTGATCCTCATGAACCTTACCCGGTGATCTATTTTTGAACAAAAAAGCAAAAAAAATAAATAAATAACGGATGCAAGGTTCAATGTACCGATAAACCCCTTGCATTGTATCAGGCTGTGTCGACACATTGATCCTTGGGTTGGATGCAATCTGATTTAATACCGATTTGAACAGGTTGGACGGTCCAATAAGACATTGAATTGGATTAGTCCAGTAAAAAATACTCGTCAGATTGGATTGGACCTAATCCATCTGTAATGGACTCATGTTGGATCTGATTTGGATGGACCAATACCCGGTCCATTGACAGCCCTAGTCAGGCTGAGTCTTGGCCTCTGGGTCTTATCATGGGCCAGGCCTGGGCTGGCTTAGCACTGGACTCAAAACCGGATCTGACTAAACTGGCCTGCACTCTGGGATGTATGTATATTCGAGTGGTTGAGTGTTATATCCGAGAGAGAGAGAGAGAGAGAGAGAGAGAGAGAGAGAGAGGAAAACCAATGGACAAACAATTTGAACGGTCATCTTGACTTGATGCCAAATCAAGTATGAACATTATACGGTAAGGATTTATATCTATAATTCTATATATTCATAAAATTATGGTCCCCTTTCATGAATGACTCGCCTTGTTTGTGGAGAATTGCACCATGCAGAATCCAGTAGAGTCTATACGAACTTAAGCTTTAAGCCTTTGTTACTAGTTAAAAAGATTCTAGTTAATTTGTATTTGCCTTCTTTCTTAATGGGTGCTAAATTTGACTCATTTACAGCTAAGCGTTGGTTCGACAAGACAGGTTATAGTTGGGGTTGGGCCGAGTTCATGCCACTTAGTTCTCTGAAAGATAAGTCGAAGGGCTTCTTAGTGAATGATCTCTGCATCGTTGAAGCACATATCCAATTCATTGGAGTCGTTAATAATTTGTCCTGAGTATATATTAAGGTCTTGTTTTCATTTCTTGGTTTTGTTGACAAATTTCAAAACGTTTAACAGGTTAGCGAGTTAAGTATCTAGATGTGGACAATTGTGTTTATATATTTTGATGCAGATCAGTAGATTTGCCTTATTTATTACCTTTCTCTGCAGTCTGCAGTCTGCAACTCTGCATTACAAATACAAATAGGACATTCTTATTTGTTTTCTTGGGTTTGAACACACCTTGTGGTATAGTGCAATGTCGTGTATGGATCAGAGAAGCTTTTATCAAGAGTTCAGACATGCCTGTCTCAAATCATTCATGGGGCTTTTCTGTGGCAGTTAGGGGTTGTTTGATAATCCCTGAACTGGCTGAACTAAATGGCTTATTGCTTTGTGCTAATAGGATATTGATATATTTAGGAGAATCGAACTTCAGACTTTCAAATGCCACCAAAATTTTTATCCTACTTTAAATCTACACATTACAAGATATATTCATAAGAATTCCTATAACTACTTGAACTCCTAACATGGTTCTCCCGGAAATTGATCTGGCCTCACGATCTAATTAAGGCCCCGTTTGGTTGGCAGGAGTAGGGATCTGGAATTGGCTATTCTGATTTCAGCTGTTTGGTTGGCAGAATTGGATTTCCATTCCCGTTCCTGCTGGAATAGCATTCCCCTATTTGAGGGAATGGCCATTCCTCCCCCTCCCTTAGGAACGAAATCTCATTCCTGCTGATTCCAATTCCCATTCTCATTCCTGTTTGAATCAAACAGATTATGGGAGTAGGTCATTCTGATTCTGAAAGATTTCGATTTTTTCAATTCGAACTTATTCTAAATTCCCAAATTACAGTTATATCTAAAATCTACCAATTTTAAGAAATTAACACTATTCTGATTGTGTTTTTTTTTCCACAAATAATGACCATCAAATCCATAGAAGCTAACTCATCTAATTTTGTTTGCTAAAATCTTCCTATGACAATAGAGTCAATGTTTTTGAAAAAAATTCTGAAAAATCATACATAGAAAAAATGCAAACTTAAATTTTAGAATATAAGCATAACATTTAATGATTTAAAGTTAATATTTTTGAGAGAATGACGGTTCAGCCTACTGTCAGAAGGTGAGAGTGTTTGACATTTTAAATTATTATAGATCTACAATAGAGTTCAGAATTCTACAGTCCGCTGTAGAGTATTTTTTTGATTTTTTTTGATACACATGAACTGCATGTAAGAATTAAACACCTTTTGGATCTGTGAGAATGTAGTCTTAGCTCTTCTTTGACCCTAATGTGGCAGGATCTAATTTGCCTTGGTGACTTTTGTTCGCCAACTAGTATGTTGCTTGATTCCCTTCTCGATGCGATTGATGATACTTGATTGCACACATTTCTTCCTTAAACAGGCCCTCATTTCTGCAACTATCGAATTTTTACCTATCGGACCTGCCTCAATTGAGTCTCTCCATTGATTTTTTTTTGCAATACATCCATTTGCACAACTTTTATTCTCCTTCCTCGAGGCATCAAAATTGATTTTGATCCCTCTTGGATTTGGGGGTTCCATTTCACCCCTCTAACTTACTATTCTTCCTACTTCCATTGTCTTGAGCTTCGTTGAAATCTCTAATGCTCTCAAAAGCCATTTTAAATTTTAACTATTTCAGACGGTTTGAATCAATGTTTTAAAAAATGACTTAGAAATAGAAGTGTTCTGGCCACCGGTTTTCGGGTTGATGGTTCGAATGTCCTGTTCAAACGGACGACCTGTTCTGACAAAAAACGGTCAAAAACTGTTGAACGGGTTGACGGGATCAACAAGTTGATGACCTAGGTCAATAGGTTACTGGCTTTTTCAATGGTTTTAGGGTAAAATGGAACCGTTGCCCAAACGATTCCCAGACCAAATGATTCGACCGTCCGAGTCAACAACGGTTCGAAAACCATGGTTTGAATAATCTATTATTAAAAATTGAAGCAAATAGATATGTACCATATCAAAGTGCTTCAAGCACTTAAACAATTTAAGCATATGTTGAATTCTCAATATGTTAATTTATCTATCTTCATGTTGTACCACTTCATCAACTTACTACTTTTGTTTTTTAATTTGCAACCAACCAAAATTGGATACTTTATATCAATGTGTTATTTAGTTTTTTTTTTCATTTTAATGTTTTTTATATGAAGCATACTCCTAATTGATGCAGGAGGTCATCATGTACCACTTACAAGATGGTTAAGGAAAGGCAGTTTGGCTCCACCTTGGCTCAATGTGTACAACTCACCACCTTTTAAAACTATGGTTTTAGGGTTAGGAATCGAAGACCAATTGTATTCTTATTTCTTCTTCACTGAAAATTGTGCTATGTGAGCTCTTTTCTGCAACTAGGTCATTAGGTATTCAGAAGGCCTTTGTTTCTTTTAAAAGTTAATAATTTGTTCAAGTATAGAAGATTACCTATTAGCAGTTAATAAACTATCAGAAAGGTTTAAAACACAAAGCAGTATACAAAAATATCTAAAAAAGCAAATTAAATGTGTCTTCTAAAAGGGGTTGTTCCTGGGTTCAAATGAGGTTTCTTAAAATTTCTCCCCAGTGTGCTGAGGTGTGTGCCTTTTAAAACGCTGAATGGTATTATAACAATTATTTTTGTTGTGATATTTCGACAATTCATAAATTATTCAATATTGCTCTTGTTATTTGATTCCTCTTTCAAATTGGCTTCCTTCTCAGCTTATTTTTGAGATTCTGTAAAGTTGAGATCGTTCAATGAGTAAGACTTTGACATAGTTCCTTGTTATCTTTTCTCACACTTCTTTCTTTTTTAATAGAAACATAGTATCTTATCTCCAAGTCAAAGGATTGCCGACTATGATACCATCCTATTTTTATAGATAAAATGAAATTCAAAAAAAAAAAAAAAAGAATAAATGAATCCTCCTCCTAGAGGGTGAAGGACCTCTTAAAAGCACTAAACAAGAAACCCTTACTCATTTAGAAATCCTAAATCCTGCACATAAAAACACACTACCCCACTAAACACAGACAACTCAAGGTTTTTAGTAATTAAAAATGAATCTACAGTAGCTACACCTCCTAACAGATGCTACGAATGAATGTAGGGCCTATTACCAAAAAAAAAGAAAAAAAGAATGAATGTAGGACGACCTACTACTACCACTAGGGTATTTTAGTAATTAAACTCTCGTAATTACTTCCTCTGTAAAAACAGATGCAACTCATTTAATACCTCCTTCAATCAACAGCCTTCCCACGCTTATTAAGGCCACTGCATGCAGCCACAGACTCTCAGACTTCCGATCGAGCATACTCTCTCTCTCTCTCTCTCTCTCTCTGAGGTGATCGTTATGGCAAAGCCTAGCTTCTCTCGCTTGTCACTTGTTCCATTGTTGTTAGTGGCGTTGGTGAATGTAACTTCGGGGCAAGGTGGTGGTGATGGTGAAACGTTTGGGCCTGAACGAGGAGCGGGAGGAACCAGAAGAGAACTGGTGCCAGCCTTGTTCATATTTGGAGACTCTCTCATCGATAATGGCAATAACAATAACCTCCCGTCTTTCGCCAAAGCCAACTACTACCCTTACGGCATTGATTTTCAAGGTGGCGCCACTGGTCGCTTCTCTAACGGCTATACCATGGTCGACGAAATCGGTGCGTCTCTCTCTCTCTCTGTTTTCTGTTTGTCTGTGTTTCTTTCTTTCTTTCTTTCTTTCTCTCTCTCTCAAAATACACAAGTAGCGGATGATATTGATGAACTAATTTATGATATTTGTTGCAGCTGAGCTGTTGGGTCTTCCTCTGATTCCGGCCTATTCAGAGGCTTCTGGAGAAGAAATGCTTCATGGAGTAAACTACGCCTCCGCCGCTGCCGGAATCCTCGACATCACCGGTAGAAACTTTGTAAGTTGCATCACTGAAAAGCACTTTTCGGGTTTCAATACCGAGCCGGTTTGCAGTGGGGTCCGGGTAGATTCCGCCTTGATCTTTTTTTCTTGTCAATCCAGATTCACCTCAAACCCACCTGTTTGTCTTCAAATTGAGTTAATTGAATTCTACTACGTACTGAATTTGTGAGGAGCAGATCCCGCTTCGGGTGGAAGGTGAAACATTTCAACTTTAAAGACGATCCATTATTTGACCCAATCGGATGAGGGCTTATTGTCACTCCGACCCGACCCGACCCATCTCTAGCTCTAGCATGGAGGGAGTCCCGAGTCCGGATCTCCTAATTACAAGTTTAGAAGCCACGCAAGGCACTCCAGTAGATCACAGATGCACAAACCAACAATGCTACTACCATTGTGATCAGCAAATTCTCTCCTGCATGCAAGCGGAGGTCATTGAGGAGACCGGATCTGCTTCTCACATAGGGCACTTTACAGTGACCTCACAGGCACATGCCGCACATCCCGTCATACATTGGGAATATCTCCCGTACTTGTACATTATCATATTCTCAAATGCATGATGAGATGTGTATATGAGATGGATGTGAGGCGCCTCACACCGATTTCACAGGTACATCCCACTGTTTATTGGAACATCTCCCGTATTTATGTATTATTATTTACTGGAGATGTTTTCAATGCACGATTGGATGTGCCTGTGAGGCGCCATGTTTGAGTCTACTCCTCACCCATAGCGCCTCACACTGACCTAAAGGTACATTCCAATGAAAAACCGTTCGCACAGCTTCCGTACTCACACCGTTCGCACGGACTTTTTCCCAATGAGAAAACGTAAACTGTGTGAGAGTCTTACGAGAATTGAAGCCGATTTCTTGGAAAATCGAAATTTCTTGAGAAGGGCTGCAAGGCTGGGTCCCATCATTAATATGATAGTCAGAGTCGTCGGATTAGCATACGAGAGTCTAATTAATTCTGATTTTAGTTTTACGAGAGAACCATTTTTTGATCGTCCAGATACCGTGCAGTCAATAGATTTTCTCAACATGTTACACCTTACACGATAGTTCAATAGGCTCTCCATGTTACTGTGCTAAGGAACATTTACTACTGTCAGATGAACTGACCGCTCTTCAATGTGTAAGTAATTACATACAACAGGAGTCATTAATAGGGGAGCTCCTGCCTCGTACTTGACTTCTTCTCTACGTTACACATCACGAGGTCTATAGTCCTCCTTAATCCGGCCGGCTACTCTGTTTCCAAGTGGTGGCCCACTAATTAATGTCTAAGCCACATCTTGATTAAATAAGTGGTCTGTTCTATGTGAGCAGGTGGGACGAATACCGTTCAACCAACAGATACGCAACTATGAGAACACTCTTGATCAGATAACGGATAATCTAGGGGCGGACGATGCAGCGCGATCGATCGCACGGTGCATATTCTTTGTAGGCATGGGAAGCAACGACTACCTCAACAACTATCTCATGCCCAACTACCCAACTCAGAATCAATACAGCAGCCAGCAATTTGCCGATCTCTTGGTTCAACAGTACACTACCCAACTCACGGTAAGTTAAGCCTTATGGCCACTTTTTAACAAAAAAACCCGCTGAGTCGATTCAATATTTTAAATACAGCGAGTGAGTGAGTGATTGAGTGCGAGTCATAAATAATAGACCTTGTTAACTCAAACTGGTTCATTAGAGACTATACAATCTGGGAGCTCGGAAATTTGTGGTGGCTGGGCTTGGGTTGATGGGCTGCATTCCGAACATACTGGCGCAAGACCAAAACGGCCGGTGCTCGGACACCGTTAACCAGCTTGTCCTTCCGTTCAACTCCAACGTCAAGACGATGATTAACAATCTCAACGCCGATCTCCCCGGTGCCAAGTTCATCTACATTGACGTCTACCGGATGTTCTACGACATTCTCACTCGGCCTACAAACTACGGTATGTATTATTATATGTTTGTTTGTGTTTTCTGCGGTTTAGGTTTTAACTTTAAAATAATTGGCAAATGGAATTACAAGGCATCAAGGCAAATTGGTGAATGTTTGATTTGATCTGAATTCTGATGGTAGGGTTTAGCGTGATAGATCGAGGATGCTGTGGAGTTGGGCGAAACAGTGGGCAGATAACATGTCTGCCGTTTGAGACACCATGCTCCAACAGGAACCAGTACGTGTTCTGGGATGCATTCCATCCAACAGAAAGGGTGAATGTCATTATGGGAAGGGAATCTTTCAGTGGAAATTCCAAATATGTGTATCCCATGAACATACAGCAGCTTGCAAATCTTGATCTACCAACCAACTAGAAACTCTCCTTCTTTCTCTCTCTCCCTCTAATTGTGTTGTGTTGTTATTGTTATGGAAGAGATACTGAGATAATGTTTTCTTCTCTGCATTTCCTGAGTAAGAAACATAGAACAGGGAATTTTGAGTTTTTGATCTGGAAACGTGCAGCCTCTTTTTTTCTTAATAGGGGAGCAACTTGTGTGGACTTGGATTGAGAATTTGTTAAAATTTAAATGATCTCAGCCCAAATGCCCAAATCTTATGGAATTGGTTTTCGATTTTAACCGAATGACACTAGACCTAGCTTAGAAGAAAATATTTACTTGATTTCAAGGTTGAGCTAAGTTATGAATGATCATCCCTAATTAGGAGTCATATGACATTATGCAAATTGTTTAATTTTTATTTTTCATAATCTTTTTACTATTTTATATTTATTTTAATTATCCTCTTAAATTGTATTTTAGTCATTTAAATTTATGAACTACTAATTAATTTTTATTAATTTCATAACTTTTAATAATTTTATTAATTATAGTAATTAGGCTTCAATTATATATAGATTGCACGTTATAGGTTTCTAGATGAACTCGACCGTTTTAATATTATATTTATTAATAAATACAATTAATTATTTAAAAATACTAATTATAAATACTGTAATAAACTATAGTTTTTAATAAATAATGTATTTATTGAATATATGGCTAATTAATTAAATACTATTTATTAATGAATATTGTAATTAATTAAGTGCTGTTAGTTAATAAATACTGTAATTAGCTAAATACTTTATTTGTTAAATGACTATTAATTAGTAAAAGTACTGCAATTATTAATTTACTATTAATTAATAAATACTATTGATTAATTAATAAATTCATTATTTTTTTAATGTAATTATTAATACTATTTTTAATAAAAACTGAATTTATTAAAATACTATTAATTATTAAAAATATTGTATTTATTAAAATACTATTAGTTATTAAAAATACTATAATTATTAAAATATTGTTAGCTTTCCCCCTATTTTTATTTTCTTCATTTTATTGCTTTCCCCCATTTTTCAATATTGTTGTAATGAATCTTCCCTATTTACTGTCTCCACCTTGTTACCTCTGTCTCTGTTCCTCCCCCCCGTCTTCTTCCCTCCTTTCCTCTATTCCTCTATTAGACTACTATTCATCTATATATAAAACAAAACCAAACCCCACCCTTCTTTCACATCAATTGAATGCAATGCAAGAAACTAGGTTGGATTATTTGAGTAATAGCCACTTCGTTGTCAACCAGCATTGTGGCTTTGATCTTAAGGCAAGCACTCAAATATGAACAGTGGAAAAAAAGTAATATAATTTCATAAATTAAAGAAAATGATGAACAGCTCAGGGGGTTTTGTCTAATCGCTAAAAGTTCAGGGGTCTTTTATCACTGTCTCTATATTAAAGGGGTTATTTATAACTGACTCTATCGTATCAATCTCCTTCCTACACAATCTCTCTCTCTCGCTCGCTCGCTAAACCTGCCATATATTGGGTCCCAAGGCCGCAAGGCGTAGGTGTGATATGACAAGAAGCCGCTCTGAAATCCGATTTGACACAGTTGAAAAGATCGATCGAGTTCACTGCCCAAAGCCGAAGGATTCAAAAGGATGTTCCAAGAAGCTCTCGATTCTCAGAATTCACAACTCACATCCAACTTCGACAAAGAACTTGGGCTGCCTGCTGTGTTGAGTTGGCAGCGACGTCAAAGCCTTGTGTGAAAGAAAGCTAGTATTTGCTGCTTCCTGCTTGTAAAAGTTTGGGTTAAAATTAATGAAGGACGAAGAGGGTAAGCTTACTGTTCTCCATCGTCTCGTCACCCATGCATGATGCATACAAAATTTATGGATGAATAAGAATATAAGTACGTTGTTAAGTGCCTAGCATGTAGAGATGAAGTAACAAAACAGTTTGAATCAGCCGGTGAACTGAATCCCTTTATTTATTTATTTGTTTTTTGCAGGAATCTTAAGATCATTCAGGAAAGAAATACCAGCTCATTACACGCTTAAGATCAAGTCATTTTCTTCACTTGCAAAGTCCATGGAGAAATATGTTTCTGGAGATTTTGAGGCTGGAGGTTATAAATGGTATCATCAACATTATTCCCATCTCTCTATCTTTCTCTTGTTTTCTTTTCTGTCCGATCGAGTACGAGTATATATAGTTCAGATGCGTGTGTGCTGCACATTGTATTGTTTTTTGTTCAAGGGGACCTCACCCATGACCCATCTTCGACTCTCTAGATCTGTCTTTTAATTTATATATATCCTGTCTAAGATTGTAGCGTCAACTTCTTGTTACTATCATCTAAGTGATGATGCGAGGTTGATGATCAATTTATGGTACAAGTATCGTTAAAGTGAAGTGCCTTCAAATGATTTTATTCAACTTCCTTGGGGTCAAGTCTCCGATAATTAGTGGATTTTACGAAATGGATGAAGGGGTGGTCTGTAATCTGTATATGTGGTCCACACCATACCACATTCAATAATTATTCTGAACTGTGGATAAATTATATGGATTGTACAAAACGCCACCGTGGATAAATTATATGGCCTGTCTACATGACAAATTGTGGAAGGAACCAATCCACACTACACCACAGTCCATAACTGTTCTTAATTGTGGACATTCCATGTATCTCATATACATTTACGAATGATCTACACCAACATTTTAAAAAACAACCCGAAAACGGAACTGTTCTAGCCAAAGAATGGCCTGTTCGGACAAACAAATTAAAAAATAAAAAAATAATTAAAAATAAAAAACGATAAAAATCGTTGAACGGGTTGATGGTTTGAACGCTCGGGTCAATGGGTTGTTGACCTTTTCAACTGTTTTTGGCCAAAAACTAGGTTTGGGGTAAAACGGAACCGCTTGCCTGGACGATTCCCAGGCTGAACAGTCCAACTGTCCGGGTCAACGACGGTTCAAAAACCTTGATCTACACAGTTAATCATAAATATCCAATTTTTGCATTTTATATRATAAATATATTGAAAAATGCATCAATGAATTAATATTAACCAATAAATTTTAATTTTTTTATAAAAACAATAGTAAAATAATTAAAATTTAAAAAATATATTTTAAATATTTTAAATATAATTTTATTGATAAAGCATTAAAATTAAAAAAAAATTAAGTAAAATAATTAATATTTTATTGACAAAAATATTAAAATGTGAAACGGACAATAGGGTAGCTTTTTAGGGAAAGTGTGAAGTAGGGGGATCAAAAATCGTGTGGATGGTCCCTAACCACGAGATTTTTCTGTAGATGAGAAATTGGGGTGTGGACGGGACCTGTTCACGCTATATTGGGGTGTCTTGTCCACACCCAGCCGAACGCGACCAAATCCCGTGGACGGGACACGGGACTTACACCATTCCGAACACCACCGATGTGGTGTGGATTGGTGCTACCATAGGGTGTAGTGTGGACTAGTTCACACCCACCAATTTCTCATCCACACTACAGAAATTGGTGGGTGTGGACTGGTCCACACCACACCATGTGGCAGCACCAATCCACACCACACCACACCACATTCAACAACTATTCTGAACTGCAGATAAATTGTGTGCATTGTTCCGGCCACACCCATGATGGCGTTTTGTAGGTGTAGTGTCTACACCACACTTTTTGATTCCATGTATCTCATATACATTTTATGGGAGATCTTACACAATCAATCATAAATGTCTACTTTTTGCATTTTATATGGTAAATAAATTGAAAAAAATGCATCAATAAATATGTAGACAACAACTGTATTTTTTAAATAATTAAAAATATTATTTTAAATATTAAAAAATAAAAAAATATTATTTTATTGCTAAAAATATTAAAAAAATTAATATTTAATTAATGAAAAAAGAGTAGAGAAGGAGAATCGTCTTACATGTGCTAGATCTAACATTAAAATTTATTATTTTATTGATAAAATTTAAAAATTTAAAAATTTAAAATTTCAAAATTATTAAAAGATTAAATAAAATGAGAGTAATTAGACCAATGTAACACAAGTATGTTACACTGAAACCTTCTCACAAACTATCCACACCATAGTGTGAACCAACCATCCACGAGAAAATACTATAGACGATAAATTGGGGTGTGACCCATCCCTGTCCACACCATAGTGTGAACCAGCCAAGGGGTATTTGTGGATGGGGACCGTCCACACATAGAAGAACACCATATCTTACTGTGCACAGGACCAAAACGGTCCCATCCATGAGAAAATACTTATAAAGTTTATTTCCTTCTCAGGTAAATTACAAAAAACCCTCGGGGTCAGTGACAATTACCTTGTGAACTTTCATTTGGAACATATAGACCCCCTAAACTTTTCACTTTGCAACAAATACCCCTTGGTTGTTAAGTTAGATGATGGAATGCATTAAATTATCAAGATGCCCACTTAAACTTTCCTTTTTTTCTTGCCCTTCTCTTAAACCCTAATTGACTCAAAATACCTTTTCACTTTGTAATGAATAAGTTAGATGATGGAATGCATTAAATTATCAAAATGCCCACTTAAACTTTCCTTTTTTTCTTGCCCTTTTCTCTTAAACCATAATTGACTCAAAATACCTCCATTTTCTCCAAACCAAATCAGCTAAAATACCAAGAATCATTTCATTGACATAGAAAAACAAGTTTCTTTAAATTATTATTTCATTGCTCACATGGATGTCTCTCTTCATCTTAAATTCTTAAAATATAAAGATTATCTACTCCTTCCTCCATTTTAGTTGTATATTGAATTCAACCAAAAATATGTAAGGATCTATTAAAGCAACCAAGAGGACTTCAGTACTATATTTAGAAAACTAATCAAATCATACATAGTTCATTTAAAAGAGTAGTTTGGGGACTTGAAAAACTTTAAACAACTAAATGAGATTTTTTTTTTCAAAGTTAAGTGGCTGAACTTTAATGAAGGGGTATTCGTCGCAGAGTAAAATTTCAGGGGGGGAGGTCTTTGTCACAGATGAAAGTTCATGAGGGTAATTGTCACTGACCTCTTAATAGAGGGGGTCTTTGTTGCAAATGAAAATTCAGAGGTAATTGTCACTGAACCTGTAGTATAGCTGTATAGGGGGTCTTTGTAATTTACCATTCTTTCTTTCTTTCTTTCTTTCTTTCTTTCTTTCTTTCTTTCTTTCTTTCTTGTTCATTTTTCTTCCGGAGTTTGTTGATGGCCTCCCTGGGAGTTCACCCCGGTACTGAAATTGCCAGGGTGTTAGGCAACTGAGAAAAGATGGGCCTAGGCCTACTAGACTGATGACCATCTGTTTCCACTAAGGTGGAGAGCTCATACATGCCTTGTTTTGTTTGCCTCCCTACTTGCATAAATATAATATATGTTACAAAACCAGAAGCTGTCTAAATTATTCTAGTACATATAATATTATAAACCATTTGAGATGGAGACTTATTTTAGGGGTTTGTCTAGGGTTCTGTTTGGATACTGTAGAGAACATTGATGTGGGCCCCACAGCTGTGGTCCCACTTTGTTCGTAGGGTAGAATGTATCTAGTCACAGCTGTGGTTTATTTATGATTATGTTATTCTAGTTGTTATTTACTTTTCAGTTTTATATTGTTGTGTTATGATGTAAACACCAAGGGCAGATGTGTCCTTTCATGTAACTAGCATAACATATAAATATTAAATTAAAGTGGCGGCGGCAAAATATTGAGATTCTGTTCTTCTCCTCAAAACTGTGTTCTACTGCTCTCTCACCACTCTTTCTCCTTCTTCTTCACTTTCTCTTCTCTTCGAACCTGAAGTTTCTTAGTGATCAGGACTGATAGCGGTCTTGAACATCTACAGATACCACATTAAAATTTTAGTTTAGCAGTTAAGCCACAAGCGTGATGAGAATGATTCATTATCTCTGTTACTCCATGTTTTGTTAGACATTGTTAATGGATTCATCATAGAGAATGAACTAGTGCTACAACATGCAATTCAAAACAATGAAGCCATTCAACATCAAGGGATAGAAAATGGACAGAAAAGACACTAGGTAAAAAGCAGGCGTACAAAGAATTGCTTTTTATTGGGTCTTTTAAAAAGAGGACTAAGTTCTTCTTTGATTGTTTTTGAGGCTGTAAATTCAGGAACTGAGTTGAAGAATTTCAACTGCATTGGACCTAGGTCCTAGTTAACTAGAGACCCTTCAAAATTTATCATCAGATTCTTAACCCAGGCCTGTCCAACATTATTCTTCTTTCTTTAATTTGCTTCAAAAGGACGAAAATGTTTGGAGTATCAACTATTAATTCTCCAAAGTTTTCCAACAAAAATTTCAGCTTATGGTTTATTAAATCCAAATGGATTGTGATGGTTGCAGGAAACTGGTTTTATACCCAAATGGGAACAAGAATAGAAATGGAAACGACCACATCTCTCTCTACTTGGCAATATCAGAGGCAAATTCTCTCCCTCCTGGTTGGAAGGTTAATGTCTTACTCAGGTTGTTTATCTTTGACCAGTTACAGGACAGATACTTGACTTTACAAGGTAGTCTCTTCCAAGCAAAAGCCATGTACAGTGCTTGCTTTCATGTGCCATAAAATGCAGTTGATGCTTATTTTATGATATCCAAACTCATGATGTTACTTTTTCATATATTGCCATCATAATCCATTTTTATTATTGTTAATTTTCTTTTCCCTTGCTAAGCTTGCATAGCCAAATAATTCTTGTGCCCTTTCAAATTGAAGTTTTAGACAGTCTGAGAAGCACTTAAAGCATTAAGTGAAATGATGTCAATAGGTTCTAGGCACTACTAGTCAAGGAATGGTGTTATATGCTAGCTATGGGATATGAATAATTGGGCAGTTTTCTTGGATAACCAATTGATCAAGTCCAACTGCTTGGTTTGTCTTTACCTTAGTCATGCTTAATAATCCGGCAGTGTAAGACAAGTTCACACTGGTGACTCCCAGTCCAATGCAATTGTGGACTTTGGTCCAATCCAATCAAGTCAAATGCAAGTCCGTTCCAAATGGATCAGGTCCAATCCAATCCAATGAATATTTTGGACCGGTCCAATTCAATGTATGGACCGTTCATTCTGTTCAAATTTGTTTTAATTTAGATTAATTCTAATCCAAACCTGGTCCATTGACACCTATATTCTTATCTTCTATCAATGGACCAGATATTGGCTCAATCCAACCCAATCCAATATAAATTCATTGCGGATGGACCAGGACCAATCCAATCCAATAAATACTTTGGACCATTAAATCTGGACTGGTCCAATCCAATATGTCTTATTAGTCCGTCCAATCCATCCAAATTGATTTTGGTTTGGATGGGGTTCAATCCAAAACCGGTCCATTGACACCCCTGGGAACAACTTTATATTGGAGGTTCATCCTGACATACATGGAGTGATATCTTCTATGGCATTTTATTTTTATTTAGGATCTTGGATGATGGTGAATGAAAAAAAATGCAGAAGTTATGTTTTATGTTTTCAATGGATTCTTGTGATTCCTTTATCCTTGAATTCCCAAATTTTCTGCATTTCTCTTGTTAATATTTCATATACTTTGCTATTTTATGCTCACAGTCAGCATTAACTGTTTGTAGATGGTAATGGGATGGCAAACCGATTTCATTCAATGATGACTGAGTGGGGTTTTGCTCGATTTATCTGCCTTGATGTTTTCAATGACCCTGCTAATGGATACCTAATTGATGACACTTGCTATTTTGGAGCTGAAATCTATGTCAGTAGGGAGAGCAATGCAGGAAAAGGGGAGTGTTTTTCAATGATGGGCCCACTGGCTTTTAACCATGTTTGGAGGATAGAGAAGTTTCCTGAGTTAGTTGAGGAAATTTGTAACTCAGAAGTGTTTACTATGGGTGGTCATAAATGGTAAATGGGTTTTATGTTTCCCTAGTTTTGCAGTTAACTATAGCACTTAAAATTGGTATTACTCCATCAATCTTCTTCCGGGGTTGTGATTTCAGGAAAATGACATTCTATCCAAAAGGTTCAAAAGAGGGAAAAGGCAACTATCTTTCTTTGTATTTGGTATTGGCCGATTTGTCAACCCTTCTTCCAGGAAGAAAAGTGTATGTTGAGTTCACCATGCGAGTAAAGGACCAAATCCATGGCAAACACATGGAATGTAAAGGTAATTTGGTGATATAGGCTTTGTTGGTATACATATCTACCTCATTAATTAGTAGCTCTTGAAATGGTGGCTCTTTAAGACATATTAACAGGATCAAAGGCAATGGAAACTACTTCCAGCTTCATTTCCACCTACACCTAGCCTGAAACTGAATCTGGGTTTTCAATAAGATCCTAGGTTTGTGTTTGGATGCATGTAAAATGGAGGAAAACTGATTGATTTCTTTGGAAAACAACTCAGAGTGGTTGAGAAATGCAGTGTTGCCATTTTCCTAAATTAGCACTCAGCTTTTGAAAAATGTTCACAGCCATTTATATGCAACCAAAGGGGAGCTAGAGCAATTCTTACCCATATGTGGTATTCATTCCTAAAAATTGTAGCTTGCAATCATATTAAAGATTTGATTATGTTCTCATCTGTGCAACATGTGTGAAATTGAAAAGTTGAAAGTTTCTAATTGTAGGTAATCAATGGTTTGGTGAAGGGAGCATGTCTTGGGGCTGGGCCAAATTCATACAACTCAGTAATCTGATGGACGGATCAAAGGGCTTCCTGGTGGATGATCTCTGCGCCATTGAAGCACAACTGGATTCCCTTGGAGTAGCAAATAAATTGTTTGAGAAGTAAAATGGGATTCTTCCTCGCTTTCTTTTGGTGACAAATCTCACTTAATCAGAACTCTTTTTTGGTTATCTTTGCTGAAGAGTGAAGTCTTCATTTGGAGTATGAAATTTGTACAGTGGCAAGTAGTCTTTTGTTTTTGACGCCTTAATGGGACAAGTAAAATATGTACAAGACTATGGGGAGTTCCTATCAGTAAAAAGGTTTTAATCATTAAAGTGCATAGGTCTCTGCATATTTTGCTTTGCACTAGGGTGATCATTTCTAGCCTGGCCTGCAAATTTCCGGACTCAGGCCAAGGTTGTTTTCAAGCCCGGCCCAGAATATGTGTGTTCTTTGTATTATTTTATATCTATTATAATATGACAATATATGACAAATATTATATTATCTCATATAATAAGGGATAATTACTTATATATACCTGAGGTTTCTTAACTGTTCAAAACCTACTTGTACCTTTTTGATCTTTCAAACATTCAGTCTAATAGATAGAATTTAAAAGGACCAAAATGTCTCTTAACTGTTCATTAAATTTTCAAAACATGACRTTCTTTCCTTTCTCTTCTTTTCTTACTTCCTCTCTTTCTTCTTTTTCCCTTCCCCTCTTTTCCACCATTGCAAACTATATATAATGGACATTTCTCTTCCTTTCTCTCTCTCTCTCTCTCTCTCTCTCTCTTCTCTGTTCTTCAAACACCAGTTAATTATGTTGTATCTCCCCATTTTCTTTTCACCTGCAAACAGTCAAACCAGTAGGGAACAGAAGAGGAAGGGAGAGAGAGAGAGAGAGAGTGGCACAAAAAGTAAATTAAAGGGGAACAGAGAAGAAGATGAAGATTAAAATGAAATTATAAAAAAAAAAGTTGACGAGTTGACGGACACATGAAACAGCCATAAACATTTTCTTAACAGATGGCCTATTTTGTATTAGAAGGTCATCTTTTATATATATATATATATATATATATATATATATATATATATATATATATAGGTTTTGAAATTATAAGGCATATATAAGTAGTTTTATGGGTATATATAAGTAATTATCTCTTAAAATAATATAATCAAAGTTATAGGCCAGCACATGGGCTGAGCTTTATTTTTAATTTTATTACTATTTTATTCCAATTTTATTGTAATTTTTCAATTTTTGTTTATCTTGTTAATTTATTTTAACTTTTCATTTATCATGTTAATTCCATCTTACAAGGCCTATATAAATAGGTTTTGAAACCAATGAGACATATATAAGTAGTTTTGTGGGTATATACAAGTAATTATCCCTTAATACAATATATTCAAAGCAGAGCTTGGGCTATATCCCTTAAGATAGAGGCATTAAGTATATGTTTGGTATAGCTTTCATTTACTCACTAAATGTTTGTATTTGATTTGTTTGCAAACCCGAGAAAAGTAATAATGAAACCGTTTATTAACAACTAAGCGCCATTAGACACCACATCAACATAACAATGAATAAATGCCTAACCATTAGGGGAAGCGTTAAAATGAAGCTTCCCTCAATGGTAGGCATGCACATAAATCAATGCCAACTTTTGCGAGTCTTTATGTGTACAGATCAACATGATTGGCCTAAATGTTGAAGTGGCACCTATGTGGCAATGTTTATTGAAAAAACACCTATGGTTCCAAACATCGCTTAAATCTGGTCTGGGTTCAACCCATAATCACCCCTATTTCTTTCTTTTATAATGTAGGGCATTTCCTTCTAATTCTCCGTTTTTTATTTTCCTTATTCTTTTTGTATGACTATGGGCATTTGCTTTAACTTCACGACTTCACATCTTATATATATATATACTCTTTTCAGGCTACAGTCTCCAGACACATGACAATCTCATTTTTCTGGAATTCTAAACATGTAGCATATTCTGAGAAGTTGTTAAAACCCACAACCCACTACTACCATTCAGACAAATGGCCTTCTCATTTTTTGAAAAACTAGACATGAGACAATTTCTGAGAAGTTCCTGCTAAAACCCACAACCCATTATCAGGCTACAGCCATCCACCATTTAGACATGTGGCATACTCATTTTTCTAGAAAGATAGACACATGACATTTTCTGAGAAGCTGTTGCTAAAGCTCACAACCCACTACCACCATTCAAGCACGTGGCATCCTATTAATTCAAGAAATATGATTCAAAAAGTGGGTAGTTTTGCTCCTAAATATTCTCAATAGACAAATATTTATTAGCTTAACACATGTTTATCTATAATCTATTAAATACAAATGGTGGAACCCATTAAAAGATTACCATAAACCCACATTTGTTTTTAAATGATTTTTTTTTCAAAAAGAAAATACTTTATTAATTAAAAACTTGATTTAACTTTTAAAAATAAATAACTCAAAATAGATTTACTAGATAAATAGTAAATACAGAAATACCAAATAAAGTGAGTTATTGTTTACTAATAAGATCTCATTTAATATCTTAAATCAAATTAAAAAAACATAAATTAATAGTGGGTTTCAAATAAAATAGGTCAGAATAGATTATCAATTACAAAAATACAAGACCCATATTAATTTTTTTTTTTAATTTAATTTTTGATAACTAAATAATAAACTTCAAACTAAATTATACACACGTTTAGTTACCCCGTACTTAACACCGGAGTCATAAGAAAAAAAACACACAACAACAACTTCACGACTTTACATACACATCACAGATCGTTTTTTAGCACAGCGTGAAGTCACAGGATGGGGTGCGTTGAACAAATCAAATCATACACTAGGATGATGGCTCAAATGGTATACAAAAAATAAATCTATGAAGGAGCACCAAGATAAGAGGCAAGTCGTAATACATCATTAAATACTCCACCAGCTGTAACTTGGGCTCCAGCCCCCGGCCCACGGACAATCAGTGGCTGTTGCTTGTATCTTGATGTTGTGAAAGCAATGATGTTATCAGATCCGGAAAGCTGTGCAAATGGGTGATCATTTTTGTATCTCCTTAACTCTACAAGCCCAGTTTTATTAACCGCATCCACCACGCCAACATATCTCAGCACCTTAAATATAAAAAAAAATCATCAGATGCAAGAAAAAACCCCACGTGTACAACACACAAACACTTCAATGGAAGCAATATATAAAGCACAAAGTTCATAATGTTGTTTGACAAAGCGTGCCAGGAGCTACACTCCTTTAATCCTAGCTAACCCACCAAGAAAACTACTGCAATTAGATTAGGAGATCATCACCAGAGAAAAGTATTGATTGCTCTAATGGACATAGGATCCTTTGATGGCTTCACTATAATAGCATATAAGAGATGCTAGCAGATACTCACTTCGCCTGCAGCCTCGGCATCCTGTCGATTCTTTGCCATGTCTTGGTCGAATTGAGGAAGCTGCTGCATGAATTCTTCAGCTGTAGCACTAGCCTGCAGCAATATAGTAAGAGAAGATAGCATCATTGATAAGCCAATGAGCTCCAAGGTTCACTATTGCTCGGTTATTTCATTCTTACTCTTAATGGTTCAGGCACAAGACTTTGGACAGGGATATTATCAAGCTCGAGCTTTAGACCACATTCTCTAGCAAGGATTATGACCTGCAATGAGAATAGATGTAGTAAGAACTCCAAACAAATTGGGAATCTTCCATAAGCTACATGCTTTCTGGGCCGCACATAATTTCCTGTAAAACATGTCTAATACAGAGATTCCCCTACTCAATGGATGGCCTAGATTAGCCAGGACATGGCGTACTCTTATTCTATGTTCCTAGTAACATGTGTTGTTTGGGGGAACACATCTTTTCCCATTTTCCTCCAACTTAAGTTTTTTTTTTTTTAATGAATACTTTTCCTCCAACTTAAGTTACACTAACTGAAGAGGCAGATGGTGAAACGAAGGCAGAGCAAGAAGACCCTTTTTTAGTAAATACAGACATAACCACCTTTCTTGCAACATCAGTCCCAGATAAATCATCTCTTGGATCTGGCTCAGTATAATCAGCTTCTTTTGCTTCTCCCACCACCTCGCTAAAAGCTCGTGTTCCTATAAAGTTGCTGAAAATATAACTCAAAGTCCCACTGCAAGAGAATAATACCACAAAACATAAATCAGGTAAAAAAACTAAACACTTGGAGTAACAGATTGGGGTCATACAAGATGAATTTTTAGTGCAAATTTCATATCTAACACCTTGTCCAGCCAACCATGGCATTGTAATGTCTAGGTTGCATAGTTGAAGACTAGAACTGCAAGTCTTTTGTGTTCTTTGTTGAAACTGAACTGATATTCAGACATAAAATAGGTTGCAGGGCAGCTAACCTGAAGATGCCTTCAATGCGCAAAATCTTGTCACCAGTTTCAAGGAGTCCCTGTAATGTGCTGATGATTGGGAGACCAGCTCCAACAGTTGCTTCATAGAAATAATGGGTATAAGATTGCCTCTGAAGTGCTCTCAATTTCAAATACTGGATTTGCGGAATGATAATGTCATAATATATGTAACAATAAGAAAGAGTGAAACTTCAGAAGAGTAGTTTTCTACCATCTTAATGAGTGAGAAGTTTTTATCTTCTCTTAAACAAAAAAGAATTGTAAGATTTAACTAAGCAACACTACCTGTCACGGCCATGTGAACCAGAAACAATGACATACTTTAGAACATCAAAGGAATAAAAGAATGCTGAAGCAGATACCAATCAAAAAACATGGCAGGACAATCAAATCTCTAGCATTTTTGGAGAAACAGAGAGCTCTGAGAAGTGAATATTTTACATTTAAAAGTTAACACAAAATTATCTAACAATAATAAAAATACAAATTAAGAAAAATAATACAAATTTATTAGTTTTAAAATTTGTTTGCATTAATTTAAATCCCATTAGGAAGTTGGTAAAATTAAACGTCAATAAAATTATGGTTGGGGTGGGCTTAGACTGACTAACCTATTGGGAATGTTATAAGTATCCTTTTCCTTCAATTTTGCTTAACAAAGCCCCTAAATCACATGGGTCCCAACTAGTATAGACCTAATTAAGGATATGTACGCCTCTGGGAGAGAACATCATATTTTACATTTACGATGGATCTTTGCCAAGGTTCAACACTTGGCCTTTATTTAGTTGTACTGGTCATAAATGAATTGACTAAACATATTCAGGAGGAGGTTCCATGGTGCATGTTATTTGTTAATGATATTGTTTTATTGAAGCAACTAATGAAGGATTAAATGCACAATTAAGATTGTGGACAAATACCTCAAAAACAAGATGCTTCAAAATAAGTAGATGAAAACTCTTACTCATTTATCAAAAAAAAAAAAWAATAATAATAATAATAATAATTAGATTAAAACAAAATATGTGCTATGCAAATTTAATAATAATAATAATAATAATAATAAGGGTATACTTATGATTGGAGACCAAGAGATAACTCAATGTGACCTTTTCCAATACCTTGGTTTGATAATTTATAATAAGGAAGAGATTGAGGAGGATGTCACCCATAGAATTAGAGCAAGATGAGCAAAATGGAAGGGTGCGTCTAGAGTCCTTTTTTTTATAATTGAATGGAAATTTCATTAATCAAGAGGATAAAACTTTTAGGCCCCGTTCACTTTTCGGGAAGTTACTTACCCATGTTCTTTTATTTCCCAGGTAAATAAGACAATGACCGTTTTAGCCACAAAAAGCCATTATTAAAAGGGGCAATTTTGTCCTATCTAAGTGTTGGCAACTTTCCTCCCAAGTGGGAAAGTTAGTTACCCACCTAGGAGATGGGTACCACTTACCTAGGGAAGTGATACCCAGGGAAAATAATTTTTTCATGGGCCCCACATAAATCTGAGAAAAGAACATGGGTACCTTAGTCAATAAGAACCAAAATCCCATTGACCAACTTTCCCCCTCTCAAAATCCAAAAAACGAACAGACCCTTACAAGCATCCTTAGGAGAGAAACGAGATGCAACCTCTCCTTTAATAGTGATTACAGGTGCATCCATATGATAGGTAAATACCACTTAGGTTAAAAGGAAATTTTATAAAATAGCTACAAGGCCAGCAATGATGTATGGAGCAGAGTGTTAGGCAGTCGAGAAACAACATGTCCAAAAAATGAGTGTGGCATAAATGTGTATGCTAAGATGGATGAGTGGAAAAGGTAGAAAGGACAGGTCAGAAATGAAGTCATTCAAAGGAACCTAGGAGTAGCTCTAATAGGTGATAAAATGAAGAAAGTAGACTAAGATGGTTGGGTCACATGTATAGAAGACCATCAACAACACATAAAAATAAGCAACCTATTATAAGTTGAAGGACTAGAAGGGCTAGGGGTAGACCAAAAAGGACATGGGTCGAAGTAGTAAGAAATGATTTAAGTGTTTGCGATTTAAAAATGGATATGGCATTAAACATAATGAAATGGCGAAACAGGATTCATGTAGCCAACCCCATATAAGGCTTGGATGATGATGAATTCTCTTTTTCTCTCTCTATTTTTCCAAGAATCCATTGCAGCAATCAACAGCCATAAGTTCATCAAAAGACATTCATACAACATTCTATAAAGACTAGAACTAATCTAGATGAGTTTTTGATGTAGTACAAGGTAGTCCTATAAATTTCAGATCTGGTAGTGGGCTGTCCTTTGGGATGAACAATAGGGATGGAGAAGCAAGTAGACAGCTTGCTGTCCAAAGAAAGAGCAAGAAATTAGAAAAGAGAGAGTTCTTGTAGTTAATTGATAAAAAAACATTCTTGCTGTTAGGGTAAACAACAAAGAGAAAGATAACTTAGAAGAAGAAATAGGTGAGAGGTGGGGGTAAGAAAAAGATTCTTGGACGACCAGAGTTCACTAAACCAAATTTTATTTCACCAAATCAACTCTTCTTAAATTGCAATTACATTGACTCACTTATAAATTCATATATGAACTTGGATGTTCCTTTACAAACTCCAGTTGGMCTAAGAAATTGGTCCAAATCAACTTCTAATTCCTTTAAAACTATGACAAATCCATAGGTAACTCATAGGTACACTCAAATAAGGACTCCAACTAGGGATAATCATTTCTAGTCCAGACCGGCCTGCACTATCCCATGATCACCTCCAACTCTAATTTCCTAAAAGAACTCTTATAAAACTTTTGTAATCCTACTAAAAGTAGGCACAAGAAATTACTACAATTATAAATAGCTATTATAGGAATTTTTATAAATAATATGTATGAAAGTTTCCACAAATAGTAAGTTCAAAATAACAACAAATTTCTAGAAAAAGTAAAACCAGATTCTTAACAAACCTACAACTAGAAAATAAATTTTAAGAACTCAAACAATAGCAATATTCTAGCACCCAAAAATTCTGAAATTGGTGTAGAAATGGAAAATTCGATTTGTTAATCCATAGGGATGCAAACGGATTGGATCGGATCTGAATCAGGGTATATCCAAATCCGATTCGACATTGTTCATGCTGGATCTGATCTGATTGGGTCTGATAGGCCTCGATCTGAATTCAAATTCTATCAGTAAGTTGGATCTTCGGATCAAATCCGACCCAACTTGTTTTCTTTGAAAATTAATAAATTATTAAAAGAAAATAAAATATACCAATTTAAATAAAGAAAAAACAAAAAATGCAAGTATTTTTTAGTTATTTTCTTCATATATATACATGTTTTTTATAAAAAATGAATAATATAACAAATTTATAAAAATACAATATAAATAATATATTTATAAAAAAATAAACAACATATATATATGTATTATATATTTATATAAATAAATATCCATGTGTTTTTTCCGAATTCGACCAAATAGGATAGGATCAGATCATGATCCGATCCATTTGCACCCCTATTAATCCATGTGTTTTTTCCTTGCTTCAGTATGAACCTGAATTTTTTGTTTTCCATTCTACCAACTTTTGTCTTTTGTGCCAAACCATCTCTGATCAACCCATACTTGCCCCAATAGATCCTCACAGCCTTTCATCCCACTTAAAATCATCAAAAAATTCCACCTAGAACCGTAGATTCCATAGTTTTCAAGTTTTTGTCAACCCCAAAATTTTAATCCTTTTGTGCAATATGTACTCCAAACCTTAAAATTTGAACCCTACACCTATATTCCCCAAGTCAAAACGTCAATAATTGTGAGGTAAAACTGCAATTGTTGTAGTTAAACCCTGAGACCCTTCCTAACCTAGCCAATCCCTATTTATAGTCCTAAAATCACCTCTAAACCTGTACTAACCCTCCTAGACTCATCCTTGGTTCATGTTGATCCTACATCAGCTGTTATCAGAGCCATTATTCCTATATCAAATGATTATCTCCCTTTCAGAGTGTTTGATTACACATCTGAAAGGCCCACTTCTATCTGAAATTTTGCTTCAGTTAATAAGTGATTGGGTCACCAATTATCACTTATTAGTGATGTAAATAAGTGTTTCCCTTAATCTTTTAACATTTTAAAGCTTTCATAATGACAAGAAATACCACTCATGTCCATGTTTAAATAGAAGACTGCAATAGCCATTATGGTCAACAATTCCAACATGATAGTTTAGTCAGACTTTAGAAACAGGTTGTTCATATATAAAAATAAGTTCTGATCCCAGTAAGGTCTAACTAGACTTTAGAAGTATCAGATTCAGACTTTGAATTGTCACCCTAGATTCTTTAACTAAACACTTATTTGTTACAAATTTCTAAATTCAAGTTGATGCCAGCATGCAAAACCTGACAACCTATCCACAAAAGATCGTGGCCATTTTGTTGAAAAGAAAAATTATTTCCATTAAACATATTCTTCCAAAAAAAAGAAAAAAAGCATATGATGTATCACATTTAAATTGTTAAGGAGAACAATGGTAGATTAAAAAACAAACTTATGAAATAATGAATTTACAATTGAAAGATGTTAATGAATAAAACAAACCTGCATACTTTTTCAAGAAGCATCAAGGGTAGAAAAGATGACAAGTGATAAATATAACAGCACTAGTTTAGAAATCATAAATTACCTGATCAAGTGGTCCTGAATTAGCTTTTTTATTTGGGGTGATTATATGAATTCCTTTACACAACCACTCGTAGTAACGACTTGCAACACTAGAATCTTCTGTACAGTCAACCAGCACAGTATTTGGAATAAAATGGTTCCCATGTACATGTTGAACAAATTTCTCCAAGTTGGCCACTTCTCCCTTCTCTTTTTTAAGTTCTCTCCATCTAGGCAAGTCAATTCCCCTGCAGAAAACCATAGTAGAAATGCTTCATGAACCTAACAACAAAAATTCTTGGACCATGACAGTGAAGTACCAGTATGTGCATGCCAATTAAAAAACAAGGATCAAAAGCAGCATATGCATGGATGAAAGTTATTGAGAATGATAGTTAGGACTTTACCCTTGATTAACTTCTTTACAAATATATATACATGCATGCCCCAATTAATCTTAAGGGCTTCTAGTTTAAACAAGAGAGTAGCCAAAAGATTATGCTCATAATTCAACAAAGATCTATGCCATTGTTTTGAATGACAACTAACAAGGATGAAAAATGGTAGTAATAGTTATAGTTTGTTTGAAACAACTTTAGGTCTTTCACTTGTCCCTCAGTTTCTCATGCTTTGTTTGTAAAGACTGATTTATGTCACTTGGGAGCACCCTTTTATGCTGTAACTTATGTACATTATTCTTTATTTATTTTCTTGTAAAGTCACAGCTGTCCTTTACAGTTGTCCTTTCCATATTTGTGTTATTTTATTCTTTATTGTAAGATAAGGACACAGCTGTCCTTTCCATATTTGTGTACACTACTCTTCTATATAAGAAAATCCTTCTGGGCGTGTAGATCATCAAACACACCCTTTCATATTCTCTGTGCAGTTTGGACTGTCTCTGTCATGGTATCAGAGCGGGATTGATCCTAGATCTGCTGAAGCTTTCTCTTGGGTGCTGTCTACTTCAAATGAAGTGCATTAGAAGTCATATCTTCTCTGTAATCTCTGAGATTGATTTGGTGATTCTCTAAGGACGGTTTTGATCAGTCTTCTTTTGGGCTGTTTTCCAGTAAAGGATGAGTACCAGGTTGGTGTTTGCTTCAGTTCTCTCTCCTGCTTTATTGAATAGCCTTGAAACCCTAGATCTGGTGTCACCCAGATCTACTCTTGCTTCTCATATCATTGCTTTGTAGTTTGGTTCCTTGCTGGTAAGTTTTTTTGACTTCATCTTCTTGGAGTCGACCCCATATTTTCCTTTTCTAGACTGTCAATATTTCAGCAACTTCTGGGTGGCTTTTACTCAATAAAATCTGCTCTCACTTAGTTATATCAGATCTGTAGTGTTTGATCTGAGACTTACTCTATCAGTTTTACTTGCTAGAACTTCAGTTCTTGTTGTTTTTCTTACTGGAATGGCTTCACACAAGAGAGATTTATTGTCAATCAAATTCGATGGAAGTAACTATGCCCTCTGAAAGTTTCACTTCCAATTTTATGTTGAAGGCCAAGGACTTTGGGGCTATGTGGATGGTTCAGTTGCCAAACCTGATGAATCTGATAATAAAGGGCTGAAGCAGTGAAGATAGATGATCCAAGATTAGCTTCATGGATTCTTGGTTCGATAGAAGCTCACATAGCTATTCCAATGAGGAGTTTCAAGACTGCAAAGGAGATGTTTGAGTACATGGAAAAGGTCTACCAATGGTCTAACTTATCTAGACAATATCAAATTGAAACAGAAATCTTCTCCTACACCCAAGGGGAGAAGAAGATTCAAGAGTACTTTGCTGGTTTCATTAATCTATGGACTGAATAAGAATTGATACACATGGGGGACTTTTTGTCAGCTTGTTGTATCAAGACAATGAAGGAACATTTTGACAGAAGGAAGGTTATGCATTTACGGCCTGAATATGAAGTGATTAGATCAAATATCCTGAATAGAGAGACACTACCCCAAATCTGTATGCTATATTGGGAGAACTCCTCAGGGAAGAAACAAGATTGGTTACTCAATCCACCATCAATGGGAAGCATGAATCTGGAACTGAAACTATCTTCTTTGCAAACAAACCAAAGCAAAAGAAGGATCTCTCTAAGGTACAGTGTTACGAGTGTAAGGAATATGATCATGTTGTAAATTATCAAAAAAAAAAAAAATGATCATGTTGTCTCTCATTGCCGAAAGAAGAACACTTGTACCTATTGCAAGCAACATGGACATATAACATCTGAATGCCCCACTAGGCCATCCAAGGGAAATTCCTCAGGATACAAGAAAAATCAGTATAGAGCTTATCAGACTACTATGGATGCTTTAGATGGTGGTACAGATTCTTCTTCTCCTGCACCAACATCAGTCAGAGGTGAGTCTTCTGGAGGTATAACTGAGGAAAAGATGCAACAGCTGGTGTCTTCAGCCATTTCTTCTACATTCTCTGCTATTGGATTGTCTGGTGAGTCTTCCCTTTAATGTTCTTATCCTAGTCATCTTTGGGTAATTGACTCTGATGCCTCTAATCATATGACGGGGGCATATTCTGGTCAGTATTTTAAACCTAAAGCCTTGAATAAGCATATCATTACAGCTAATGATGAGAAACTTGAGATGCTTAGCTATAATGATTTGACCTTACATACCTCTTCTTCTACTCAGTTTCACCTTCCTAAAACTCTTCTTGTTCCCAAACTTACTACTAATTTAATTTCTGTTGGACAATTAGTAGAAGATGGTAATATTGTTTCCTCTTGTGATGAATGTTTGATCCAGGACCAACGAACTAAGACGATGAAGGGGAAGGGGCGTAGGCTAGGACAGCTATTCGCTTTGGAGTTCAAGAAATCACAGTCTCCGCCAACTTTGTCATGTTTACTTTCTACTACACCTAGTACTGAACTTGTTTGCAGAAATAATGAGTGGCACCTTTGGCATAGATGTCTTGGCCACCCTTATGTTAAGAAACTTGAATCTTTGTTTCGTTCTGGTTGTTTATCATCTACTGCTACTTCTTTTGCTCATATTAATAAATCTTGCATTTCATGTGGTTTGAGTAAAGGGCATGTCTTACCCTTTCCATCTACTTCTGAACACTCTTCAGTTCCCTTTAAATTGATTCACAGCGATGTTTGGTCATCTCCCATACCCTCAAGGTTGGGGTACCGATACTTTGTTATATTTGTGGATGATTTCACACAATATACATGGATATATTTTTTAAGACAAAAGTCAGAAGTTTTCCCTACCTTTAAATTGTTTCAGGCTCTTGTTAAAAACCAGTTTGATGCTACGATTGGTGTTTTCCGATCAGATTCAGGGGGAATACCTTGATGGAGATTTTCAGACATTTGAGGGAACTAGGAATTCAATCATAGAGATCTTGTCCTAGGACCCCACAACAAAGTGGGGTGGCAGAGCGGAAGAATGGACACATATTGAGTGTGGAGAACCTTGTTGCAAGACTCCCATGCACCCACTTCCTTTTGGGTGGAGGTGGCCAGCACTGTTGTATACCTCATTAATCTTCTTTCCTCTTCTATTCTTCATGATGTTTCTCCCTTCCAATGCTTATTTCATCAGCCTCCAAACTTTTCTTTGCTTCATGTTTTTGGTTGTGCTTGCTTTGTTCATCTTCCCCCCATGAACGCACAAAGCTCACACCTCAGTCAGCTCTGTGAGCCTTCATGGGTTATAGTTTGGATTGTAAGGGGTTTCTTTGTTATGACCCTAAGTAAGGAGGATCTGAATTTCCAGATATGTTGTATTCCTTGAGAATATTTCCTTCTTTGCCCCCATTGTTAAGTTGCTTGCTCCTTCTATGTCTGTTTTGCACTCCCTCTTTCGTGGGGTCTCTTCACCAGTATGTAAGGAAGTGAATGGCCACTTCAGCACTTGCTCCCTTGCCCTCTTCTCTATCAGCTCACGGCTCCTCTCCTCCTCATGATACTGTAAGTAATAATCTAGAGCCTTCACCTTTTGTGACAACTTCATCTCCTCCACCTCTCCATCGTTCCTCTCGTGTTTCTAGACCCCTTGACCACTATGGTTTTCCTACCAACCATAGTTCCTTTTCTATTGTCCTGACATATCTATAGATATTCCAAAGACTCATCAGCAAGCTATGGCAGTTCCTCACTAGAAAGAAACTATGGATATCGAAATTCAGGCCCTCACAAAAAATGATACTTGAGATCTTGTTCCTTCACCCTCAGATGCTTCAATCATTGGGAGTAGATGGGTATATTCCATCAAACTGAAACCATATGGTAGTCTTGATAAATACAAAGCTCGCTTAGTTGCACAAGGATACAAACAAGAATATGGAATAGATTATGACGAAACATTTTCTCCCGTAGCTAAGATGACCATTGTTTGTTTGTTGCTAGCCATGTCTGCATCTAAACACTGGGAGATTCATCAGATGGATATAAAAAATGCTTTCCTACATGGGAATCTCAAGGAAACTGTTTATATGAAGCCTCCACTAGGATACTATGATAGTTCTCCCTTGGTGTGTCAGCTTAAAAAGTCCTTGTATGGTCTTAAACAAGCCCCCAAGGCATGGTTTGAGAAATTTCATTCAGAAATTACAGATGTAGGATTCACTCAAAGTTCCTCAAATCATTCACCGTTCATATCCAGACGCCCCCAAGGAATTACACAATTACTTCTGTATGGGGATGACATTCTCATTAGCGATGATGATAGTCATGGCATTTCTTCTTTAAAGTAGCATCTCAGCCAGTCCTACAAGATGGACCTTGGTCATCTTACTTATTTCTTGGGGCTAGAAGCCACTCACTCTTCCTGTGGGTATTTTGTTAATCAATACAAGTATGCAATGGATCTTGTGAAATCTGTAAACCTGAGTGATGACAAACAGGTTGACACACCTCTTGAGATGAATCTAAAACTTTCAAAGGATGATGGGGACCCCCTAGCAGACACTATTCTTTATTGATAGCTTGTTGGTAGCTTTATCTACCTTACCATGACACGTCCGGGTATTTCCTATGTTGTCCAAGTGGTTAGTCAGTTTATCTCTTCTCCTCGACAACCACACATGACAGCAGTTCTTCATATTATCCGATACATTCGTAGAACACTTTCACATGGCATCTTTTTTCTTGCATCTACTCCAGTCAGCCTATCTACTTACGTAGATGCTGATTGGGCAGGATGTCCAGATACTCGACGATCCACTATTGGTTGGTGCATCTTTCTTGGTGACTCTCTCATATCTTGGAAGTGTAAAAAGCAACCTACTATCTCCAAGTCCTCTACTGAGGTTGAGTATAGGGCTATGCCCTTTGTCTCCAGTGAGATTATATAGCTAAGAGCCCTCCTCGATGACTTTGGTATCTCCTTGGCATCTCCAGTTCCGATTTATGTTGACAATGTAAGTGCTACCAAGATTGCATCCAACCCAGTCTTCCATGAGCATACCAAACATATAGAGGTTAACTGCCACTTCATCAAAGATCAATTTTCTGCTACACATATCTTTGCCGCACGTGTCTTTTGCCTTACAGCTCGCTGACTTATTCACAAAGGCTATGACCCGTTCTCGTCACCAATTTCTAGTTGGCAAACTAATGCTCATACCTCGGCATCAGTTTGAGGGGGGTGTAAAGACTGATTTATGTCGCTTGGGAGCATCCTTTTATGTTGTATCTTATGTACATTATTCTTTATTTATTTTCTTGTAAAGTCACAGCTGTCCTTTGCATATTTGTGTTATTTTATTCTTTATTGTAAGGAAAGGACACAATTGTCCTTTCCATATTTGTGTACACTACTCTTCTATATAAGAAAATCCTTTTGGGCATGTATTTCATATTCTCTGTGCAATTTGGATTGTCTTTGTCAGCTCAAAATAATGGAATTCTAGTTCAGTGTAATTGTTTTTCACAAGATTCCAACACATGAGATTGTTTTTGCTTTGATCAAAGTTCATATTATGGTCATTTGATGCACAGATCCAAGGTAAGATTGCAGTTTACCACCTTCATTTGCCAAGAGATAATACCAAATTAAATGTCCAATAATGAACAAGTACTCCAAAGATGCAAGAAAGTGTTGCCTTCTATCACTACTCAGTTTCAGGGAGCCATTGGTGTTAAGTAGACAAATTACAAATCAGATTCTTACTGCCAATGAATGTGTGGAGGATCTGAAGAGATTTGGGGCAAAAGGAGTGATTTCTAAATTAGATATTGAGAAGACCTATGATCTAGTTGACTGGGAGTTTCTAAAATTTGTGGATTTAGAGAAACATGGTGCAAATGGGTTAGAGGATGCATCTAAACCTTCCATTACTTCATCATGGTAAATGGAGTAGTGGTTGATTTCTTCCTAGCTAGTAGAGGATTTAGACAAGGAGGCCCTCCCTCCCTCC